TCCCACCATATTATGATGTTGCCCAAGTTTTGGGCTCGATCCGAAATCAATAGGTGTAAGAAATTGGAAAATTCAAGTTCAGAGGCAGTTCTTTCCAAATTGGAATGGTTGGGGTAATTCATAGTTCTAGCGATTGGATTTCACTCAAAACACACCAAATGACTCCACCCACCATATTATGATGTTGCCCAAGTTTTGGGCTAGATCTGAAATCAATAGGTGTAAGAAATTGGACAATTCAAGTTCAACGGCAGTTCGTTCCTAATTGGAGTGGTTGGTGTATTCCATACTTCTAGCGATTGGATTTCACTCAAAACTCACCAAATGACTCCTCCCACCATATTATGATGTTGCCCAGGTTTAGGGCTCGATCCGAAATCAATAGATGTAAGAAATTGGACAATTCAAGTTCAAAGGAATTTCGTTCGTAATTGGAGTGGTTGGTGTATTCCATACTTCTAGCGATTGGATTTCACTCAAAACACACAAAATGACTCCTCCCACCATATTATGGTGATGCCCAAGTTTTGGGCTCGATCCGAAATCAATAGTCGTAAGAAATTGGACAATTCAATTTCAAAGGCAATTCGTTCCACATTAGAGTGGTTGCGGTAATTCATAGTTCTAGCGATTGGATTTCACTCAAAACACACCAAATGACTCCGCCCACCATATTATGATGTTGCCCAAGTTTTGGGCTCGATCCAAAATCAATAGGTGTAAGAAATAGGACAATTCAAGTTCAAAGAAAATTCGTTCCACATTGGAGTGGTTGGGGTAATTCATAGTTCGAGCGATTGGATTTTTCTCAAAACACGCCAAATGACTCCTCCCACCATATTATGATGTTGCCCAAGTTTTGGGCTCTATCCGAAATCAATAGGTGTAAGAAATTTGACAATTCAAGTCCAAAGGCAGTTCGTTCGAAATTGGAGTGGTTGTGGTAATTCATAGTTCTAGCGATTGGATTTCACAGAAAACACACCAAATGACTCCTCCCACCTTATTATGATGTTGCCCAAGTTTTGGGCTTGGTCCGAAATCAATAGGTGTAAGAAATTGGACAATTCAAGTTCAATGGCAGTTCATTCCTAATTGGAGTGGTTGGTGTATTCCATACTTGTAGCGGTTAGATTTCACTCAAAACACACCACATGACACCTCCCACCATATTATGGTGTTGCCCAAGTTTTGGGTTCAATCCGAAATGAATAGGTGTAATAAATTTGACTATTCAAGTTCAACGGCAGTTCGTTCCTAATTGGAGTTGTTGGCGTATTCCATACTTCTAGCTATTGGATTTCACTCAAAACTCACCAAATGACTCCTCCCACCATATTATGATGTTTCCCAAGTTTTGGGCTCGATCGGAAATCAATAGGTGTAAGAAATTGGACAATTCAAGTTCAAAGGCAATTCGTTCCGAATTGGAGTGGTTGAGGTAATTCATAGTTCTAGCGATTGGATTTCACTCAAAACACACCAAATGACTCCTCCCACCATATTATGATGTTGCCCAAGTTTCGGGGTCGATCCGAAATCAATAGGTGTAAGAAATTGAAAAATTCAAGTTCAACGACAATTCGTTTCAAATTGGAGTGGTTGGTGTATTCCATACCTCTAGCGATTGGATTTCACTCAAAACACACCAAATGACCCCTCCCACCATATTATGATGTTGCCCATGTTTTGGGTTCAATACGAAATCAATAGGTGTAAGAAATTGGACAATTCAAGTTCAAACGCAGTTCATTCCACATTGGAGTGGTTGGGGTAATTCATAGTTCTAGCGATTGGATTTTACTCAAAACACACCAAATGACTCCTCCCACCATATTATGATGTTGCCAATGTATTGGGCTCGATCCAAAATCCATAGGTGTAAGAAATTGGACAATTCAAGTTCAAAGGCAGTTCGTTCCAAATTGGAGCGGTTGGGGTAATTCATAGTTCTAGCGATTGGATTTCACTCAAAACACACCAAATGACTCCTCCCACCATATTATAATGTTGCCAATGTTTTGGGCTCGATCCAAAATCAATAGGTGTAAGAAATTGGACAATTCAAGTTCAAAGGCAGTTCGTTTCGAATTGGAATGGTTGGGGTAACTCATAGTTCTAACGATTGGATTTCACTCAAAACACACCAAATGACACCTCCCACCATATTATGATGTTGCCAATGTTTTGGGTTCGATCCAAAATCAATAGGTGCAAGAAATTGGACAATTCAAGTTCAAACACAGTTCATTCCACATTGGAGTGGTTGGGGTAATTCATAGTTCTAACGATTGAATTTTACTCAAAACACACCAAATGACTCCTCCCACCATATTATGATGTTGCCAATGTTTTGGGCTCGATCCGAAATCAATAAGTGTAAGAAATTGGACAATTCAAGTTCAATGGCAGTTCATTCCACATTGGAGTGGTTGGGGTAATTCATAGTTCTAATGATTGGATTTCACTCAAAACACACCAAATGACTCCTCCCACCATATTATGATGTTGCCCCAGTTTTGGGCACAATCCGAAATCAATAGGTGTAAGAAATTGGACAATTCAAGTTCAAAGGCAGTTCATTCCACATTGGAGTGGTTGGGGTAATTCATAGTTCTAGCGATTGGATTTCACTCAAAACACACCAAATGACTCCTCCCACCATATTATCATGTTGCCCAAGTTTTGGGCTCGATCCGAAATCAATAGGTGTTAGAAATTGGACAATTCAAGTTCAACCGTAGTTCGTTCCTAATTAGAGTGGTTGGTCTATTCCATACTTCTAGCGGTTGGATTTCGCTCATAACTCCCCAAATGACTCCTCCCAACATATTATGATGTTGCCCAAGTTTTGGGCTCGATACGAAATCAATTGGTGTAAGAAATTGGACAATTCAAGTTCAAAGGCAGTTCGTTCCAAATTGGAGTGGCTGGGGTAATTCATAG